TGGGGAAGAGCTGTTCACTAGGGTATGTAGTAATAAGATGAGAGGTAATGGTCTTATTCTAGAAAAGAGTAGATTTAGGCTGGATATTTGGAAAAAGTTCTTCAATATGAGGGTGTTAGATCACTGGAACAGGTTGCTCAGAGAGGTGGTGGAGGCTCCATCCCTGGAGATATTCAAGGTCAGGCTTGATGTGGCTCTGAGCAACCTGATCTAGTAACAATGTCCCTGCGGGGTTGGACTAGATGACTTTTAAAGGTCCCATCCAACCCAATACATTCTGTGATTCTATGATTCTATTCCTGTAAGAGTCCCTGTTGTCAGCTTTTCCCATGCATATGGGATTTGCCATCCCAGTCACTCTTCGTTACAGAGCCTTCCCATGTAAAACATGTGTTTGATAACTTTTCTTCTTGGAAAATTTCTAATAATGACTCTCCAAAACAATAAAAAAACCACCAGACCCTTGCAATTTGTGGAATTTGTGTAAATACTGCTCTTCACTCCCCTCCTGGCATTACTTTGCCTCCCTATGTCTTTTGGTTTAAACTCCTTCCCTGATACCTTAGTTAAAGCACCAAACCATAGTTAAACCGAGTTCCTCCTGCTGTTGCCAGCCTGAATAATTTAGAAGTATTCATGGTTTAGATCAGTATTTCTTACCACTTAGGGACCTTAGCTGTAACTGAGGTAAATGTTAAATTCTCTTCAATTTACAGGGCACTGCTCAATAGCACCTTCCCAGATGAAACCATATGAAACACTAAACATCTGTTCATTGCCCAGTGAAAGCTAATTGTCAGCCTATAGCTACCTCATCAACTGGACAGTTAGCACTACTCCAAAGCACAATACTTTCATATGCTAGAAGGTTTAATACCTTAGCTATTCAGCCATAATAATATGCAAGTACTATTTTGTTGTTACTGGTTTCTATGTTTTAGGCAAGCACAGGTTATGGGAACATATTTGTGTAAGTGAAAAGGTAACTCAGTACTTCTCCTTGTACAGCTTGATATTTATTGATTAAATATTGCTTTTGGTAGGTATTAGCTTTATGCTTGTGCCATACAGAGCACAAGATGCATAGCTTGTGCTTCGGAAGTAGCAAAGATAGAGGCTGTGGCATATGTTCTAAGGACTCTGGGCCAAATTAATAACTTATTTGGAGGTTTCCTGTTTTAGTGCCCTTTATGTTGGATAGGCTACCCTCTTATATTTCTGGCATGAAGGGCATAAATACCTGGTAAGCACCTTGTTCTGAAACACTGAAATTCCTGTATTATTCAATGCAGCGTATGATACCATGTTTACTTTGGCTAAACGGTGTTTGGAGAACTTGGGTAGATAGTTGTTATCTTTTCTGCTTATATTTCCTCTGCCTCACTTGCTGGGCCTGTGTGTGGCTAGTTGGAATACTGCCTAAGTTTCTGTATTGAAGGATCTTGGTACAGCTAGCTGCTGTCATCTCTACTGTGCCTCTTGGCCAGCCTCTGGTCTTTCCAGTTCCCGTGATGTGACTGAACCTCTGATCCACCAATTGTCGTGTTTGTCCTTTAGTTTTACCTAGTAAGAAAAAGCATGATGCTGTATGTGAAGTTAGTTCAGTTGACACTGCTCATGTCTTGTGACATGGGGGAGGTGGACGAGAAGCAGTGGGTGCAAACTGAAATACAAGATATTTTGTCTAAGCATAAGGCTTTTTTACTGTGAGAGTGGTCAGATACTGGAAAAGTTTGCCCAGAGAGGCTGCAGTGCCTCCACCCTTGCAGATACTCAAAACCCAACTGGATGTCATGCTGAGCTACCTGCTCTAAGTGACCCTGCATGAACAGGGCAGCTGGACTCCCAGCCTCAGTTCATCTCTGGTGCTGCGACACTCTCACAGCAACTGGAGCCATGCCAAATTAAGATGCTCAAGCCCAAGATCAGGGTTGACCAGATTTTTCAGGAGTTGGTTAACAGTGAATGAGAAACAAACATGCTAAACTCTGGGGTATGGTGAAGCCCAAGAAAAGCACAGGGGATTCTTTATGCCTCCAGTGTCATTGCTCCTAATGCTGCTTCCAGTTTTGAGCTGCATGTTCCCTTGATGTTTCTTCAGCACAGCCTTCAGGTCCGCCTCATGCAGACACTCCCCACTTACTGCTGGTGCTTATGCCTGTTCTTTTGCCTTTATGCCTGCTTTATATTTTCATTTGTTTTCTTCTTGTTCCATGCCTTCTTTCTTCCTCCTCCTCACCCTGCCCCCCCACTCCCCAATAAAAAAATTGCAAAGCACCTGCTGCTTTCCCACTGGCCCTCGAGAAGTAATTGCAGCCCAAGGGCATAGGTTCATTTAAGGACAGTTACACTGCTCAAACATTCTTTTTTTAAATTGACACAGCCTCCCTGGAAACACGGTCTCAAAAAGTAAATATTTTCCAGGCTTGTCAATATGGAGAGAAATATGTGAATCATCTAAAAAGGACACTGTTGAATCTTAAAGTGCTGCCTGAATAACCAGCAGTCACCTACGAGACTAGGAGACTTGCTTTACATTCTCTACTTGTCTTATGTAGTAGCTGTAATAAGTGAATGGCATAGCCTCAGTGTGGACAGCTTTGCTGATTTTGTTATGTTTAATTAGAGTTAACATTTTTCAAGAGAGTTTTTTTCCTTGTAACTAAATTTGAAGGATGAAGCCAAGCATCACCAAACTCAATGGCAGAACTCCCACAAACTTAATTGGCATTGAGATTCTTCACGTTTGAAATACTTTCAACTTTTAAAAGCCTTTTCTAATAGTGTCTTGCTTGGAAAATACTTATATGTTCATGAGGAATGTGGATTTTGGTAAAGTGTGATGAATATTTTAGTTACCAGGAAAAAAAGGCTGAAAACTTCAAAATCTGTGCACAAATCCAGTTTTATTTCAGTTACCTTCTTCAGTAGCTACACAGAATACTTTGGAAACTTGACATTAGCTGAATTAAGTATGATTAGTCTTATTAATAATGCAAATCTCTGCCCAATCAGTTTTGAAAATCATTGTGCATGAAGCATTTCACTGCTCCTATTTAAAATGAGATCTGACAAATGAAATTGTAAAAAACAAAAAGTAAAAAATGCACAAAACTACCAAAATGTCCTAGAGCATTAAAACCTAAATGATTTAATTAAAAAAAAAAGGAGCTGCTGTTAAATCGTATATAGTGTTCTACTCATAGGTACAAGTGACTGGAAGCTTACAAGTTCATATAGTTATCAATTACATTGAGAGTATACATACACGTAGGACTATTAAGTAGTGTCAGGTGATGTTTAAAAACCTTATTTCTGATATTTGCAGTGTGGTATCAGAAGTGGAATTAAAAGGAGGCTAGAATCAGAAAACAAACTACTTAATTCTGACAGGAGCCTAAGAAAAGGCATCTAACCTCTGAAGTAGTTTACGGCACTGGCTAAATTTGCGTGC